ATGCATCAAGCACACTGTCTCAAGGATAAAAATACTGTATAGGGTCAGAATTCCATGTTTTATAAAAAGTGGTTTACAGTGATCCCTGGACTTAGCTTTTGATAAATATCTGAGAGCTCTTTTTTGTAAGACAAATACTGAGCTCATTAGCTGATAACAGCAAAAACCCCAGAACGAAATGCCATACATTAAGTGTGATTCAATGAGAGAAAAGTAAGCCATTCTGCCTGCCTTTGTTCCGAGTTCCGTAGTGATAACTCTGATTGCATAGCAGCCCGATGCTAGGTTTTTGTTTATGGTCCTTACATGGTCATCAAATCGTAATTTATCATCAATGTATATACCTAAGAATTTTATGCTGGTATTGTTATTTATGATTTGTTCATTCAAGGTCAGATTTTCATAATTGAACTTGAAGGTCAGGATTTTGGTTTTATTTCCGTTGAAGCAAAGATAGTTTGAGTCACACCAGGTTTTAACTTTCTGTAAGTCTAGAAAGATACGCTCTTTCAGAATTTCTATATCACTTCCATGCCATAGTATGGTGGTATCGTCTGCAAACATGGTAAAGGTTCCATGTATATCAATCTTACTAAGGTCATTAATGTAAATAAGGAAAAGAATTGGGCCAAGAACGGATCCTTGGGGAACTCCTTAGTTTATTTTGGAGATATCAGAGGAACAAATTCGGCAATTTGACAATCTAATTTCGGTTCGAAAGATAGCTTGCAAACCAGTCGAGTGTCACTCTGTGATTAACACAGTCGAATGCTTTTGAAAAATCGCAGAATACTGTTCCAATAGCTCTTCCATCGTATAGGCCAACATACAGCTCATTTAAAAAGTTGAAAATTGCATCACTTGTGCGTTTATAAGTTTGAAAACCGAATTGTATTACTTCAATAGAAGTAATAAACATTTTTGGGCTGATCATAATCCTCATGTTACAAAAGAAATGGGTTTTCAAGAAAAATTTGACCTGAATGTTTTCTGTATTCTGAAGAACAATAAAATTAGCTTTTTTATTTATGAAGACACACTGAATGCAGAGAGATATCTCCAAATATTAAGGACGACTGTAACCGATTTTCTTGAAAAT